TCGCAAGCCCCCTGGAAGTCCTACGATCCCCAGCAGGGCTTCCGCTTAAGGGGGGCTTGATTAAACGCTGGGTAACGTATAGCGTGTTGAGGGTTCACTGATATCGATGATTCATGGCTGATGACACACAGGGGGGCGCACGAATCTTTGCGAATTCAATATATATTTAATAACCAATTTCAAATACATATAACCAATTTCAAAATACATACATTAAATTTCAAATAAATTCAATAACCAATTTCAAATGCATACAATATCTAATTTCAAATACATTCAATAACCAATTTCAAATACATTCCATAACCAATTGCAAACCTATACATACAATAACCAACTTCAAATCAATACATTCAATAACCAATTCCAATACATTCAATAACCAATTCCAAATATATTCAATAAGCAATTAACAATCGAGTCCCAAATTTGATCCGCCAGAGCGGGCGGTATTTCTTCCACGGATCTTGAATGACACTTTCCCCAGCGCACGACCCTCGGGCGACCCTCGTGCGAGTCCGGCGATTTAAAAACGAGCTGAGAAGCTAGGCCTAACTGCTCTCTCGCTCGTGTATATAACAACACGGACCATGTCAGAAGTTACGTAAATTTTGTTTGGTCAAAAGCTGAGTGATGCGAGAGACAAGAGGTAATTCAATTCAAATATCGTTTTAAGTCATTTACTAAAGCCATGTTGTACCAAACTTGTAGTACTAATACAAAAAATCCTCAATGAATGAGGGTTCAGCATATTCCTGACAATCCGTGGTTCCGGCACCGGAGTCCGTGTCTGATTTACTACAAAGGGCTAAAGAACTGTGGTGATTAACACCAAGTTAGGTTAAATTAGGTCTAAATTAGCTCTTTCGGGTTAGGTTTAGGTTATATTAGGTTAACCGTTCAGATTTGGTCTGATTAAGCTTAGACTGCTACCGAAAACACCAATAATGATAAGGAATTTGACGGTCAGACGATGCCTGTGGTTCCTCGCTGCAAAAGGGACGCATCTTCAACAACTCGAAATCCATTTTACGACTTTGAAAAATCTGCAGATGACTATTCCAAAAGGTCCGTCAAAGCGCGAATCCCATGAGCGGTTGCCGGAAATTTAATATCGGAACTTCCAACATCGGAACTCTCGAGAAGAAAGGGTAACCGACATCGATTTCTTATGTCCGAACAGTAGAAACTTAAAACATGCACTGGATTAAACCGGAGAAGGACCTCTGAACACGTGGCCCTTTATCAACGTCCTGCACACACTTTACCCAATAATAACATTGGGGGCGGGGGGGGGGGGTCAGGCCCGCGGGAAGATAAATAAACTAAAGTCAGCTGATCGAAAAACACTATATTCATGCAACTCAACATCAAGAAACTTACTTAAGAACACATCTAGATACAGCGACACAACAACAACAACAAGAATAAAAAAATCGCAAAATCTATATACAAGTCATACTGCAATATCACCGGTGACAAGGCCCGAGCCACCTACAAGGCCTCACCAGATTGCGCAACACCAGCGACAACACCACAACACCAGAGCAAGTCTTTATAGATGCGGAGGAGAAGGAGGAAATAGGGAGGGGAGAGGGGGAAGAGGGAGGAAATGGAGAGGGGAGGGGAGAGGGAGGAGGTGGGGAAGGGAGAGGTGGAGAGGGAGGAGATGGGGAGGGGAGAGGAGGAGAAGAGGAGGGGAGAGGGGGAGAGGGAGAAAATGGGGAGGGGAAGGGAGGGGGAGAAGGGGAAATGGGGAGGGAGAGGGGGAGAGAGGAAATGGGGAGGGGAGAGAGGGGAGAGGGGGAGAGAGAGGATGGGGAGGGGAGAGGGGGAGAGCGAGGAGATCGGGAGGAGAGGAGAGGGAGGAGAGAGGAGGAGAGGAAGGGGGGGAGGGCAGAATAGAGAGGAAAAGGATGGGAAGACGACGAGAAAGGGGGGGGAGGGATAGAAAGGTTGAGAGGGAGAGGGAGAAGTCTGGGAGAGAAGGGAGATATTGAGCAGGAGACGACGAGATAAGAAGGAAAAAATGGAAAGGAGAAAAAAAAAGATGGAGAGAGGCTGGAAAGGAGAGACAAGCAATACAATAAAGATTGAGGATGGAGAGGGGTGAGAGAGGCTGGGGAGCAGATGGAGAGGATAAGGAGAGAGGGAGAGGGAGGGGGGAAGGACGTCGGCGGGCGGATCCAGGGGAGTCGACTGGGCACGTGAAGTCCGGCAGCCGTCGACAGTCTGCACGTGTTCGTGACGTGGAGGGTAGGGGTAAGGGGTAGGGGTAAGGGGTAGGGTAAGGGGGTAGGGGTAAGGGGTAGGGGTAAGGGGGGTAGGGTAGGGGGTAGGGGTAAGGGGGTAGGGTAAGGGGGTAGGGGTAGGGGGTAAGGGGTATGGGGGTAAAGGGGTAAGGGGAGGTTAAGGGGGTATGGTATGGGGTTAGGATAAGGGGGTAAGAGGTAGGGGTAAGGGTCAGGGTAAGGGGATAGGCTAGGTGGTACGGTATGGG